TCTGGAACCCATACCAAACAAGCCAAGAGGAACCTATGTCTCCTTTCACCTTTTAGTCAACTGTTCACACACGGCCATTGTACAACTGTCATAAAGAGGAAATGTTCTAAAAACCAGCTTTCTTGTATTGCCAAGAAAGAAAACCACATGTGTGTGGGGGGGGGGGGAGGGTGGGAGATAAATCTTAAGTCCATTCAAATACTGTTTTAAATCTCTTAAATATCATCTGAATGTTTTCCACACTGTAATTTGAGTTGGAGAAAGATAAGACAGGGACCATTTACTTGCCTATGTGACAATCTCATGGGGACACTTTCTCCATTGAAATTCCCTCTTCCCATTGAACATGGCTTGTGCCAAGTTAACAAAAAAACAAACAAAAAAAGAAATCTAACTAAGGAGTATCTGATGTGTCATTGCTGTTTGGAGTTTCAGAGAGGATTTCAGGAATCGAATCCAGACCTACTCTGAATGGATCCTGTTGGGTGTTTTTGTTTAGCATTTTGTTTTCAGTTGTATAGATAAAAGAGAAAGTGACTGGATAAAGGTGTGCTGTTGCTGTGCCTTCTTTCATAACACACGGGAGATGACACATCACTGTGGGAAGGCCCAGTTAGGTTTATGGAACAATTGTCAGTTCCTGGAGATGGGTCATGATGAAGGGGTGGAAGTTCTAGAACGTACTAGGATGAAGTCTGAAATACTGCTGAGTATCCTACAGTGTGTAGTCGGCCCCTTGGGGCTAAGGATCACCTGGATAAGGATCACCTGGATGCAACTCTTAAGGATGCTGAGGGTGAGAGCACTGTGTTGCAGAATGCTGATAAGACACCTGGATAATGTATGAATAGAAACACCATTGAAAGTGGAAAGAAAACCCAGGAGGCACCCTGAGGTGCTCATGCTATGGTAAGGAGCAAGGATTCACAGTTCAGTCCTGACCTAGCCACCATACTCGTGTGAACACAACTAGATCTACCATTTTGCTTCAGTCTCCTCATTATACGGCTATCCTAGGATTGCTGTAATGGCTCCCCGAGATTAGACACGGTATGTAGGGTAGTGCTAGTGCCCAGGAGGCATTCTCTCATGTGCTTGCTGTGGTCACTGTTACATACAGTCTAGAGAAAGCAGATTGTAGCATGTGATCAAAACAATGTGGGTTCAAGACTGTAGAGATGGCTCAGCAGTTAAGAGCACATGTTAATGTTGCAGAGGACCCAGGTTCAGTTCCAGTGGTACACAGACATCTGTAACTCCAGTTTCAGAAGATCTGAAGCTCTCCTCAGGCTCTATTGGCATCAGAAACAGACATGAATGAAGACAGAGATGTTTTTAAAACTAGCTTATTTGTATTGGCAAACAAGAAAACCACATTGGGGAAAAATAAATCTTAAATCTTTCTAAATACTGTTTTAAATCTTTTAAATGGTGTTTGTATGTTATCCATACTATGATATGAGTTGGAGAAAGAAAGATAAAACAGAGACCATTTACTTAAGAATTTCATTCACAGACACAGGGGAGATGACACAATGGTTAAAAGCACTGGCTGCCCTTGCAGAGGAGCCAGGTTCAGCTCCCAGCATCTAAATGGTGGCTCACAAGCATCCTTAACTCCAGTTCCAGGGAATCTGCAGCCTACTTCTGACCTCTGTGGGCACCAGACATGCATGCGGCGTAACGTACACACATGCAGGCAGAACACTCACACATGTAAAATAATCATTCCAGGAGTTTCTCTCTTTTGGTAGGGGGCAATCTTTTTTTTCCTCCCAGACTGACCTAAAACCATGAGGCTTGCTCTTTTCAAAGTGAAGGCATTCTGGCTCTCTCCACATATGTGTTGCATGTTGTCTGAGAGTTCTTTATGACACTTCTCAGCACCACAGGGTGTCACTATGGAAAACTTGCCTCCAAACAGAGATGTAGGCCTGTGTTTCCTGGATTCTCTGCTCAATCACAAGCATCTCAAGTCCTGTTTGCTTCTTTAAGGGAGAAAATCCTCATCCTGAACCCCAGAGTCAACCTTGGTGAAAATGTCTGTCTCTCTCATCCCAGACTGAATGTTTTTGTGCTCATGCCTTCAAAGGGACAGTTACTACCATCTAATTCTGTATCTGCCCTGGGATTCAATAGTGTAGTTCCTGTCATCTTCCCCTATCCAATCTGACTGGTGGCCTCTAAAGTGAAGGCTACACCTGTTTCTCTAAATATTTTATAGTCATAGCCCCTGATGAACCAGATTCAAAATTCTCACTGGCCTCCCCCATAGATGATTTTGAAAGATATGCACAGTGTGGAACTGACAGCTTGTATTTAATGAGATGTTACTAGGTGAAAGAAATAAGGAGAAGGGTGCCTACAGTTTGATGGGTGGGACTCATTCCTGAGAAGGCAAATAGCAACATCTATAATTTCTGCTTTAGATTAACTTTTAGTGAATCTTGCTGTGGACCTTGATGGGTTTTCCTTAAAGGTCATTCATATTGTTCGGGGCTTGGGTATTATCTTAGTTTCATCTCTTGCTGCTTTGATAAAATACCCAGACAAAAACAACTTAGGGGACAAAGGGCTTATTTTAGCTCAGAGTTGTATGTTATGCTCCATTATAGTATGGAAGTCACAACAATGGGAGCTTGAGGGAGTTGATAAAATCATCTACAATCAGCAGCTGAGACTAATGAATGTTCCTCTGCCTAGGGAATGGAACCACCCACAGTGAACAGGTCTCCCCACCATAATTAACATAATCAAGGTAATTCTCCTGATCTAGAAAATCCTTCATTGATCTTCTCTTCACGGGTGTTTCTAGAGTGTGTCAAGTTGATTAAAATGAAACAAGCACACCATCTAAGAAGTGCATGGGGCCCAGTTGCAAGGAGGATATAATACAGAGGATGCTGGACCCAGATGCCACCACTCCAGCCAAAAGACTGAGGAGTATCGTGATGGCTGATCCACAAGCAGGGTTTTAAGAGGAAGGGTTTCATAGAAATAATTCATAATGCCATTTTGCCACAAAGGGGACAGGGGGTCGGTTTGGCGATTTATCTGATTGGAATATATGTTATAGTACAACACACACAATTTATTGCCTCAAGAATTAAAAAAAAACTTTTACAGAATTCAAGCATGATGATACAAGCCTGTAATCCCAGCCCTTGGGAGACAGAGGCAGGAGGATCAGGAGTTCAAGACCAGCCTTGACAACATATAAAGTTTGAGACTGGGCTGGATTATATGAGATCCTCTCTCTCTCACCATGAAAATATGTTTTACAGATGAGTACATTGAAAGTCTCATTCCCACTCCAAACTTGTTCATTCAATTCTCTCCCAGCCCTTATTGGTCTTGGTTATTTCTCCAAGTTTTTTACCTGGGCCCCTGCCCTAGTATATTTCTATGTCAACACAAGACAAGACAATACAGATTTGCCTGACTTTTTTCTCTCCTTGATTCAGGAGAGCTATACTGTTTGAAATATTATTCTGCACTTTGCTTTTTCACTTAACCTATTGTAGAGCTTCCTAATCCAGATGCTCCAAGCATTTTACAACAAAGGGAACAGTAGTCCCAGGGACCTGCTCTGCTGAGGCCCAGTAAACACAGAGAAAGAAGCACTTTGGAGGCTTGCCTTGACTCTCAAAAGTAAGGTTGCACAGAACCAAAATGAAAGGTAAATGTCATCCGATTTAAATCATATTTCAAGGACAAACATTTGCAAAAGAAAGGCACACATTTTCCCTGATGGATAAATAAATATTCCTTTATTAGCCATTCTTCCAGTATTTACTTTGGTATGCATTGTTCCAGGCTTGGCTAGATGCTGCAGGGAAGGTCAGCAAAGCAAGTGGGTCATTTACTCTGGTCTCTATAACAACAGCCCCTTCAAGGTAACCCTGTGGCTGCATAACACACACTTCCACAGTAGCCAAGTAGGCAGTCTTCTTCACATGATGATCTACCAGTTCCCTTGCGTAAATGCCTTCAGTGTCCCACCTGTGATCAAGTTCAAGTCTAACCCTTTCTCTTGGCTCCCCCAGTCCTTGGTGTGAACCTAGGTCATATCTCACTTTCCCTGGCTCCCTCTGTTCTAGCCTTACTGTGTGTCTCCTGTGGATAAAAACAAACAAGAGAGAGAGAGAGAGAGAGAGAGAGAGAGAGAGAGAGAGAGAGAGAGAGAGAGAGAGAAAGAAAGAAAGACAGAAAGAAAGAAAGAAAGAAAGAAAGAAAGAAAGAAAGAAAGAAAGAAGGAAACCAAAATGAAACAGTCCTGTCTAGTGTCTAGTTTGGGGGCTTATGCCTGCTCCTTTCAATCTGGCATGATCTTCCCCATTCATCACCTTGGATTAACTCCCACTTTCTTGTCAGTGTCTTTCTCTCATTGCCCTCTTGCTACAATCTAACTTTCTAGCTAGTGTGAATTAGTGCAGCCTAGTCTAGTAGAGCACTAAGCTTCCAAGTCCCAGTACTGGTTCCACCTTTAAGGCTGATCTGTCACCTGTAACAAGTAGGACACACGAACGTCTTGACACAGTCATGGTGAGACGATGCATTCTTAGGAAAACTGCCCGCTGAAGAATGGCCAGCAGATGGGAGTTGGCTCATGTTTCCCCATTGTTCTCATCTTCTCCATGGATCAAGCTGGCACACCTCTAAGCCTCCGGTGTCTAGTATGAAGAACTTCTGGGTGAGCTGTTGGCTAATAGCCATTGCATATTTAGGAGTGGTGGTGTGGGTCACTTGGTTCTTTCATCCTTGCAGCGTGTACTTGTTGCCTCCCTTGACTTCTCCCAAGTTTAATAACCCTCTCCCCTGAGGTCTGAAAGGAACCCTTCCAGCTGCGTCTCAGTCTTGGCTCTAGGGGACAGTCCCAGAGTATGGACTGAGCATGCTCCTGGCCAGCCTGGGCTGGTGGGGCCGGACTTCTCTGGCCCAGCATCTTGCGCCCACCACAGGCTGGGCGGGCTGGCAGGAGAGCCTGCAAGCAGGCGGGGTTTGGCCTTAGGGCAGCCTGGCGCATCTAGGCTCTTCTGGCTGACAGAAGTGGGGAGCAGGAGGGGCGCCTCCTAGCCAGTCGCACAGTCTACCGCGGTACGCAGAAGCTGCAGGAGCAGAGCCGGGCAGCCAGGAGGGCTCTCTAGGCCTTGAGCGCGCGCGCCGTGTGGTTCTGGAGTCTGGCCTTAGGTCCCGATGGGGGAAGGAGAAGCACAAGGGCGCTGAGGTGAGCAGAGCTCGGAGACTCAGCTAGGGCTCAAGTGCAGGCTCCCATTCTTCTCTCGAGCGGGAGGAGAATTCCCTTAACCACATTCACAACCTTGCTTCGGGCACGTTAGCTGGGTCTGCCAGGAGGCCGAGGTGGCCGGCAGCTGTTGCACCAAGAGGGGGCAGCTGCGGAGTTCCATAACCATAGCAACCGCATCAGTACCAAGGCGGCAGTGGCAGCGGCGGCAGGCGGCGGCGGCGGCGGCGGCGGCGGCAGCGGCAGCGAGGGCAGCATCTGCTTGCTCCTCCTCCAGGCAGCATCACAGTGGAGACCTGAGACACAGCTCGTTTGCAGGTGCAGTGGACTCCTTGGTCCGCCCACAGTCGCTGCCAGTGTGAAGGTGAGACGAAGAGAGAGGAACCAAAGCTGCAACTGGGCCCTAGGAGGTGAGGAGAGAGCCCTGCAGTAGGAGACAGGTAGGTGAGAATGCTCTGGGGTCACCAGCTATAAACTCTCTCCTTTGTGGCAGTGACGTTTCTGGAAGCATGGTTACTAGTTGGATGGCTTTCTGTTACTAAGTGGGGATCCTGCCGCGAAATGTGTTTTTATCTTTCTCTATTTTCTCCCAGATATCTCTGTCCTCTAATCTAGCCTCACATGTGGGCAAGTCTTGAGAGGACAAGAAGGAACACTGATGTGACTGGGTGAATGAGGTTGTTCCCCAGGGGCTCATTCAGACCTGTCTGCTGACCTCTGAGCCACTGCACCCAGGGCAAGCTCAAAAGAAGACCTTGTGAGATGGAGCGGGCGGTGGTCTCTGTTCCAAGTGGGGCAGGCTGACTCCATCTCTTGTGGGGGTGGGCTGCAGTGTAGTTCACGGTGGTATAGAAAGGGACCACAGCACACAACGGCTCCTCGTATGTAAAAGCAGCTCTAAGCACAGCCACTACAGAGAACCAAAAGTACCCCCAGAGTTTACTGTGCTATAGAAAAGATGTTCTGGTTGTTGGGGGATCTGATGGTAACACAAGTAAAATCTTCAGTGTTAAGAGACTCACTTCCCATTCCCCTTACCTTTCTCCTCCCTCCCTGATGCCAGCAAAACAAAAGCTGGATGGTGCTTGGAGACACCCTCTGGCCCCTGGCCACTGCCAAAGGATCCGACTTTCAGACAGAGAGGAGAACCCCACTTCAGTCCCTCATGTAAACTAGGGGGCAATGCTTTCCACTGGGTTCCCATGCTCTTAATGTTAAGCTATTTTAAACCCTAGATTCACTTGAGGTGCTACATTGTATAATGGACTGTTAACTGCATCTTTGACCAGGGAGAGGACTGGAGTTTTGGGGCACATGATTTAACCCAGTTCATTTGGGAGAAGAACCCCCCAGAAGACCCAATGGAAAGAACGTTGTATTAGATGAGTAATTTGAGTCAAAAAGTGCTTCATAGAGTTGAGCAGATTTCTGAAGAATTTCAAGGATGGGTAGCTAGTGACTGTGAAAGGGTTCTCTTTTTATATCCTAGCCACAGGGGACTATGGAAAGACCCAGTTAAAAGGCTTTGTTCTTTAATTAGGCTTTTAATTTATGATGTAGTTATGTTACCCAGGAGGATGTGATCTGACCCTCATTTCATCTGGGGATTTATACCACAATGAGGACAATATATTATAGGGAGATGGTACACTGTAGTATAGAGGAAAGAGGGCAAGATTCTGGAGTCAAAAATGGGCTTGAACTCTGTTTTCATCATATACCTGTTGTATGACCTTGAATTTCTCCTACCTTGTTGAGTTTTCTCTTGTCTACAGAATAGGATAGTAGCAACCCTCAGCATTTGCTGGACTCTCATACAACCAAACGTAATGGTAGAGGATACAAATGGGTAAGGATTTTAAAGCCTGATGACTAATGCAATTTTAAGAAAATCATCATTTTCTAAAGACAAAGCCTCCTATTAGCAAGGCATTACATAGCTATCACCTATGGAAAGAGTGGAAATATTAGTCAGTGAGTCAAGGCTGGAATACTGTCATGTTCCAGAGACACTCGGGCAATAAAAAGAGGGCTTTATTGGGGTAAACACTGCCTGCCCTCCTTGTTTATGGCTGCTGAAGGTCAAGAGCTTTGCCATGAAAGTTGGTGCTCCATTCCCTTCAAACAGTGCATTCTGTGTGGCACAGAGTGGACCAAACATCTAATAGTGCAAAGAGATATTTACAAAAAGTGAGGACTCCTTTAAATGTTGCACACACTGTGGGTTCTTTGTGCATTGCAGTTGTTTCAATCCAACTCTGGCTCTGCAATGACAGATTTCTTTGATGAGCCTGACCAAATATGTACAGTTTGATTTCACTGCTGAGGGGACTGTAAACTCTGAAGAAGAACCAGGGCTGGTGTTCTGCTCTTCTCTGCTTGTCTGTGCCTTGGCTTTTGTTCACGCTGGTGTCTTCGCAGGAAGCAGCCATTTCTCATTTCCTTTCTCTTTTTGTGGCTCAGCTCAAAGGCTCCATCATGTCTGGAGCCGTCCCTGACCCTCTCATGTGCTTCCCTGACACTCTGTACCTGTGACTGGCAGACTGTGCTGTGTCATTGCTTGTACAGACTCTGCTCCATGAGGGCAGGGGCCTCTGCCTACCCTGCCTTCCTGTGGCCCCCGGACCTATGGTGAATGGTGCTGAGTGAGGGAATGGACTTTACCAACCACCTGACTATTCTGTCCTGGAAGAGGTGCCTCAGAACCTGTCCTGGGTACCTTCCTGACTCATGGTGCAGCAAGCTTGAGGGATGCCTGCTGGTCTGCCCTGCATTATTTGGAGTCAGCCCACTGCAGCAGAGTGAAGGGGAACATGGGCACAAACTTTGTCTCAAAATGTTCATTTCTTTCCAAAGGACACTTCAGAATTGTTGTAGTCTGGTGTTAAATGGCTTTCATATAACATTTGCTGACTATTTCAGATAGATTACTTTAGATTTAGAATGTACTTCTGTTCCCTCCATTTAACTCTTTTAATAGCTTTCATAAAATGGGAAACATATGAACTGGCTTCAGAAAGCCTATTACTGAAGCCAGGTTCTCAGAGAACTGACAACTAGAGTGATAGACTTCCCCTTTGCCTTTGTTTCCTCACTTGTAGCATGTGACTGTTGATATCAAACTCATGGTTGATGCTGAACACTTACAATAAAGCAATAGCTGTGTGTGGGGGGGAACCTAACCTACAATGTACTCAACACAAGCAATGCTCCATTTTAATTTCTCTTTTACTTCATTGCTTTTTTAATGGTTTGTCGAGACGGGGTTTCTCTGTGTAGCTTTGTAGACAGGGCTGCCCTCAAGTTGACCTGCTTCTGCCTCCTGAGTGCTGGGATTAAAGGCATGCAGAGGAAAGGAGGGAGGAGAGAGAAAGAGAGGGGGAAGGAGAAGGAGAGAGAAAGAGAGAGGGGGAAGGAGAGAGAGGAGAGAAGAGAGAGACCATCTTTTGGTTAGATGTGATAGTCCATAGGGAGGGGAGTGCAATTAGCCAATTAGTTGGGATCCTGGGGTCCTGGTTCTGATGCAGGAATGGCTTCTACTTCTGACACTGCTTATAGGACTGTTGGCCTGTCCCCAATTTTCAGATCGTGGTGCTATCATCTGCAAATGGCCTGGAGGATTTTAATGGCCCTACTTACCTGTCTTTCAGTGATCATGTACGTTGGCCTATGCTCTTTTTACTGAGGTTTCATCTGTCATCTTTCATCTCTGGTTCTCCATCCATCATTTCCATAAAGCCTTATAATGTCCAAAACTCCATACTCCAAAGACTAATGCCACTGCTGCCACCAGAAACACTTTTCTTTCCTTGTGAGTCAGGGTATTGGTTTCCTTGTGAGTCTAGAGATTCATTGGCTACCTCTTCTCCAGTTAAAATGTTTCGCTGCACTGTCAATCTGCAAGAAGCCTTGTATTTAACCAACTGGGATAGGTATATATGAATTCTGATATTATTTGAGAGAGTTAATAGAATTCACATCATTTCTAATGTTTTTGGGTTTCCTGGACCATGGGTGCTCAGCAATGTTGAATATTTCTGCTAAAACATGAATCATTTTTAGGCGAATGCACACCAGTCTCTGATATTGTAATAGAGGATGACTATAACATCACAAAAATAACCAACACCATGCATCAGGCTCTATGACCCTCAGCCTTTGGGTTGGTGGAGTAGGACCCTGATCATTTGGTGTATGGAGCTTAGGTAAACTTCCTTGCCCTCTGTACTTCCTCATGCCAGACCCTGAGGTTCCAACATTAACTGGGCAATGTCCTGCCAGCAAACTTAGTATTCGTTTTGTGTATCAAACATAGAAACCGAGAAGGCAGCACCAGGCAAAGTTCAGGTTATACAATCCAGGGGAACAACCGTCTACCCTTTTCCTGGGAGAAGTTGTCAAGGTTGCTTTTGAATAACAAGAGATCTAAGCTGAGAGGGTTTCTCTATGGAGAACAGAGGGAAAGCAAATGGGCACAGGAGGTGGCATGCAAATGGAACAAGAAATGTCATGAAGTGCGCATGAGTCAGGGCTGAGGTAAAGTGTTGTCCACTGATTCTGGTGAGGTCAAGAGAGCTGACATCACTGAGAGTCTGTGAACCAGCCTGTTAAGTGTTCTCTCTTCTCTGAATGGTATGGGAAGCCATGGAAAGATCAGTAGTCATGCAGAATGCTCTCTTCTCTCCAGCTTCAGAGTGGAGGAGAGATTAGAGAAGCTAGATCAAATGAAACACAGGATGGCCTGATAGGTAACCTTGAAAGCAAGGGTTGTTTGCAATCAGGCCATGGGAGTAGGGATGCAGAGAACAGGAGGTAGCAACTCGTGTGGTAATGATGGCAGAGAAGTGAACATACTGCTTTAGCTCTCAAATAAATGTCTAGATGGAGCACTCCAGGGGCTAGGAACCACAGAGAGAAAAGAGGGGATGGGCACAGTTGTTATCCTGGATATCTTTCCAGACACTACACTCACTCTGGGTCTGGTCCTTCACTCTTTACCTGAACTAATCAATCAAGTTCTGAGTTGACACTTGGCATCCCTGGAGAGCCTCTTCACACAGCAGCTGGCTAGATGATTGGAAAATTGAAAACAAATTTGATAAATCAAAGTCCTTCTGTGTTTTTGTAACCCATAGTTGAAAACATCTCTCCTATTCCTACCCCAAGACAGAACCTCATCACAACCTCTAAGACTACCCTGTCACAACATTCATTTTTAATCTCTGGTCTTCTTGCTCATGTCTAGCAGTCCATGGGAATGCGGCCTCCTGGGATTCTCTTTTCCTCTATAAGCAAATGGTCATTCTGGCAGCGGGTACAGTGTCTTCTTGTGAGAAAATTAGTCCACTCTGTCTCTTCTTTGCTGCATCTTTCTCTGCTATACTTTAAAAAGTTGTTGTGGGACTCCCATTGGTAGAGCAAATTCTTTCAAGTGACATGT